TATATATATATTATTTATTCATATTAATATTATTTGTATTTCTAGTTATAAATAAAATAGTTATTATATTATTAATTTTATATTTTAATTTTATACTATGTTATGTTTATTATTATTATTATTAGACTAAAATAGGATTTAGGTCCCATAATTTTATTTTAAGTTTCAATTTGATCCTTTAAGTTTCAAATGTTTCTCGTTCCTTAAATTGACAAAAGGACTAATTTGATCTAACATTGAAACTTTAAAGACCAAAATAAAACTTTTAAACTTAGGTGACTAAATTGAAAGAAAAAAAAAATTAAGGGACCAAAATTTTATTTTAGAATTATTATTATTATTATATGTTAAGATGTAAAGTGACTTTATTTTTTTTTTTAAATTAAAACATATTTTAAAGCATCTTTATATTAAGTTTTTTTTAATAAAAATAAAATAATTATAATATAAAACAAAAATATAATAATATAATTTTATAATTATTATTTATTTTTTAAAATGAATATGAAATATTTTAATATAATATTAATAATTTCAATTTAATATTATTTTTTGTTATTTTAATTATGTTATTAGCGACCAAACTTTCGGTCACAAAATGTTACACATAATCACATCTTTTTTATTAATTAAATTTATATTAATAGTGTTGCTTTGGGCTTAAGCATGATGAGTGTAATTTTTTTTTTTACAGTCGAAGCTCGATAAGGATTAAGGAGGTGGAGGGTAGTGTTGGTATTAGTGTTAATATATAAATTAAATCTATAAATTCTTACAAAAAAAATTAAAAATTATATAATAATTTATTATATTAATTTAAATCAACGTATAAAATATTTTTATAATTACTTGTTAATTTGAATTAATGAAATATAATATTAAATAATTTTTAAATTTTTTAAAATTTACAGATTTCATTTATATATTAAAATTTTTTAATTTAACTGTTGAATTGTTAAAATTTGAAATAAAATAAAAATTATTGAGTGGAGAAAATGTACTAAGATTTATTATCAAAATAAGTGAATTTATCTCTCTCTCAAAATATTA